ACTGACAAAATTACCTGTTGAATAGATTGTTTTATTGTAACAGACCATACAGGTGACTGACTTTGCAGAGTCTGATTGGATAAACATGTAATTTTTGCTGTATTTCGCCTTGTTTATTTTCCCCAGAGTGCTATTTTGGTGTTTCCCGTAGGTTTTAACGCCTAATTTCTTGGACCCCAGGAGTAAAGGAACAGGGAGAAAGCAGTAGGATAAAATTTTTTCCCTGTTATCAAAAAATAGTCTTTTTAAATAAGCCTTTAACTCACAGATGAGAAGGCTTTAATCAGAGATACTGAGGACTCTTAATGCAGTTTTGCAGTATTAATCATACTCTCTTCAGATGCGTGTCCGCAGGATTTTCACCGTTGGATATATTTTATAAAGTGAACTCAAATGAGCATAACGTTTCTTAACCGGTGGTCACAGAGATGGCACTGGTATCAGTTTCAGTTTTTAATTAAAGACCACAAATGACAAATCTTTGAACCACAGCATGAATCAGAAAGTCGGCTAGTCAACCTTTTTTTTGAGGGGGTGTTCTTTTTGAAGGTGGGGGTTGGAGGCAGGGAAGGGAAAGCAGGAGAGAGAATTGGCAGAGAACCGTAGTGGGAGGCAGTAGATTGTGGGTGGTGAAACTGGGCTGGAAGTGATGGCTCTAGACCACTTCTCCTCACCCCAGAGCCCTGAGTAAAAATAAATCCCTTTTCTAGCACTTGATCTTCTCTCCTCTCCCTTCCCTACCTTTCAGTGGTCTTAAGCATGAGCAGGGACAAGCAGCACAAACACAACTGAGGTTTTCTTACAGGCACAGAGATAGTCCTAAGGTAGAGATAGTCCTTTATCAGATGCCACCCAGGAAAACAGAGTGTGACATCACACTCTAATGTAACCTCTGGCCGTCTTCTGACAGGGATGGCGGAGGGTGGGCATAGAGGGGAGCAGATGGAAGTACTTTTGGAATTTTCCCAGTGGGCACAAGGGGTTTGTTCCTTAATTAGAGGTAGTCTGGTAAATGCTCACACTGGTGCTAATGCCCCAGGAGAGTTTGAACACCTTTGTTCTGGGCTTACTGTGATATTATAGTCCCCCTGCTTAGGGGGCAGACCAGCTGGCGGCAGGAAAGCTGGCTGAGAGCTCACTTGGCCTGAGCTCTAGATTACTACTTGATTCTGTTTAGAAGTCAGGACCTGAATTTTGAGGTCCCTTCAGAAGGTAATGCTAGTGTTGATTTCTGGCCCTGCTTAGGTGCTTCTGGAAGTAACAACTGTAAAATTAGGGCGCCTGGGTGGCTCAATTGGTTGAGCGACTGCCTTCGGCTCAGGTCATGATCCTGGAGTCCCGGGATCAAGTCCCGCATCGGGCTCCCTGCTCAGCGGGGAGTCTGCTTCTCCCTCTGACCCTCTTCCCTCTCGTGCTCTCTATCTCTCATTCTCTCTCTCTCAAATAAATAAATAAAATCTTTAAAAAAAAATAAAAAAAAAACAACTGTAAAATTATATCAGAATTTGCTTTTTAGAAAAAGCCAGGTGGTAATCAGAATGTGTGGGTGGTTTGAAGTTTGGTTTTTTTGTTTTGTTGTTTTAAGAATTATTTATTTTTAGAGAGAGAGAGTGTGTGTGAGTGGAGGGAGGGGGCAGAGGGAGAGGGAGAGAATCCTCAAGCAGACTCACCACTAAGCACTGAGCCTGACATGGGGCTGGATCCCAGGATCCTGAGATCATGACCTGAGCTGAAATCAAGAGTTGGATGCTTAACCTACCGAGCCACCCAGGTGCCCCTGGTTTGAAGTTTTTAAACAAAAGTCCTGTGCTCCGCTACCAGGCCTCCAGAGGAGTACTTTATATTGTGCATATCTGCTTCTAGAATGGGTTCTGGAAGGAAATTGCGTCCTTCCTGTTTCATCACAACCCTTGTGACCTTGCCATATTCCCTGCCTTCCCTGCCCTAGCAGAATCTGATTCTTAACTTCTGTTGAAACTGGTCAAGGGGCTTGAAGTCTTCCTTAAGTACAGAGGGCAGTCTTTTGGAAAGGATGACAGATAGATCCCTGAACCATACCACCCTGTACGCTCCTGATCTCGTCTGATCTCGGAAGCGAAGCATGTTCGGGCTTCGTTAGCACTTGGATGGGAGACCCCTGAACTCTTAAAGGGTCACAAATTGGTGGCTGTACCCTTAGCAGCCTAGATGATGAGTTTTCTAGACTTGCTGGGTGGTTTTTGTTGGGGACATCATTATGGAGGGCCCCAAGCTCTGGTATCTTTCTTCCTCATTCACCCCTTCCTGTCCAAACTAAAAATTGACTTTTTGGAGTCTTTTTTTCTTTTTCTTTTTTTTTTTAAGTAAACTCTACACCCAGCATGGGGCCTGAACTCAACCCTGAGAACAAGAGCTTCATGCTCCACTGACTGAACCAGCCAGGCACCTTGACTTTCTGGAGTCTTTACAGAATTCACCTATTATTTTTGCTTCTACGTTCACTATTAATAAATCCATTACTGTGTCTTTGCCACAGTTTAGCTGGTTTAATTGTCTCCTCTTCTTCCTGTTGAGATCTGGAGTTGTGGTTTTGAGGGGCAGTATGTTATGGTCAACTTGTAGGATCCACAGTCCCCCACCCTCATCTCTTGGTTGTAGGCATCAAGATTTAATGGGTATATCAGAGATTGCAGTGATCGTGCATAGATTGGTTCCTTCCAGAAAGTACAGGGGAAGAGTGATATCTGCAAGACAGCTTAGTGAATGTGTTCTCTGAGCCTCCGTCATCTCAGCATCTCTGCTGTCCGGATGAAATACAAAGCAAAATGTACTTGGCTCGTTGGAAGGGTCTGCAAGGAGACCACTGTGGCTGAAAGTCGAATCAGCAAGAGGAGCAGTGGGGTTAGAAGATGAGGTCATTGAAGTAGTAGTAACAGATCGTGGTAGGCCTTGTGGACCTGTTGGGATTTTGTGTTCCAAGTGAGATAGGGAATCATTGGAGATTTTTGAGTTGATATTGTTTCTTTTTTTTTTTTTTAAAGATTTTATTTATTTATTTGAGAGAGAGAGAATGAGAGAGAGCACGAGAGGGAAGAGGGTCAGAGGGAGAAGCAGACTCCCCGCCGAGCAGGGAGCCCGATGTGGGACTCGATCCCTGGACTCCAGGATCATGACCTGAGCCGAAGGCAGTCGCTTAACCAACTGAGCCACCCAGGCGCCCCGATATGATTTCTAATTAAAAAAGTAAATTACTCTGGCTGCTGTGTGGAGAGTAGACTGCTTGATAGGGGCAAGGGTGGAACAGAGAAACCATTTAGAAGGCTAGTGTAGTAATCCAGGCTAGAGATGATTAGATGACAAGTGAAATTATTACCTGTCTCCAAGAAAGGTTGGGAGACCTAATTAAGAAAACCTCACTAATGCCCCTCATATAGCCCATTTCACAGTATTAGGCTCCAGTATTCGCTAATTCCCTTCCTTTCCTTGGATTTTGCCTTCTCATATATTAGGACCAGAGGGGAGAGGGTATTAAATAAAGAACAGCCTTCACAAGGGAAGGAATTGTAAGCAGGACCTCAGTCATTTGACCCCAACAGAAGCCTTTTTATTTCTTGAGGCACCGCAGTTGGCGCCTTGTGTACATTCTGTTATCCCGCCCACCGGAGACCTGAAAAGGCGGGGTCTGTGCCAGAACTCTGGGGCAGCTCGATTCTCCTTGAGGCATTCAGTCTTCAGTTCTCTCTGCAGTTGCTATCTTAGACACAGTTTGAGCAGCCTCTTTTTACAAAGTATCTTTTCAGCCAGGAGGCCTTGCAAGCTGGAGCTCTCTGATACTCATCGTGACAAGGTAGTTTCACATACCTGAGAGGGCCCCCAAAGAGAGAGAAAGAGGATTTGTGGTCTTTGTTTTACACTTGAGCTCTTTCCCCACTCCTCTTTTGTTGGGATTAAAGCCTTAACATGCCACCTGGATTTCTGGGTTTTGCAGTATGGAAAAGGAATTCCATGTATTTTATTTTAGTACATTATACTTGTTTGAGAAGAGCTTGGTCCTTGGTACACAGGGAGCTTATTCCCTACAGAGGCCACATCAAGTCTACTTTCTTGGGTAGGTCTTGTTGGTAGACGTTACTGAGGAAACCATGCCGTCTTGACATAATGTCAGGATTACTTGCCTAGAGAGGGCTGCTGGCAGCCTACACCTCCTTGATTTATTCTGGGAACAATGCAGTTTTTTTCCTGGTGGCCAGGAGGTCTAATTGTGTGATAGGCAATAGGAAAGGTAAATCCCCGGAAACTTACAGACTTTGCTTTAACAGTAGTTAATTGTGTCTCCTAGGATGCTTTGCCCCTTCTTCTAAAAGTGAGCTCAGATTACTGCCATTTCAAGTTGGACTTTGCGTACCTTTGCAGCTCATATACTGTACTGCTTCTGGAAATGTCTGACTGCTCCCGCCCCAGTCAGGTCTGTAAATAGACTGAGCCAGGACCTAGGAAGGCCAGCTCTCTTCAGGAACCCTGTTCTATTTTCAGGGAGAAATAATTTTTCCCTTCACTTCAGTTAGAATCTGCGCTAGCCTTTCTCTTCCTGCCTTCGCTGGGGCACGGATGAGAGCTAGCATGCCCTGTCTCTGGCAATCCCGTGGGCCTGCCCAAAAGTAGTAGGGAGAGGCCATCTACAGGAAGTGCACATGCTGAAAGTGCATCCACAGCTGGTGAACATAAAAGACTTTATAGATGCACCTTATTTTCCAGTTATTTGTGTGGATAGGTATTTCCGGTTTTTATTTCTCCCCACCCATGCATCTGTGCTGACTGAAACATCATTTTAGCCATAGTAATAGTTGGGAGCAAATTGTTGCTGCAGATAAAGACACTGATGTATTTTTAACCAACATGCTGCTAATTAAATTGCTTATCTATCGGAACGTGGGCCTTTGCTGCTCATACCCGATGTCCCCGGCATCTTCCTTGAGTGAGTTGCCTTGTATTCTATGACCTTGTTCTTTCGTTCATTGCAGTGTGAGTGACTGCCCCATGTTGTGTTGATGCCAGTCTGCCATGCTAGCCTGTCTACCAGGGCCAGGTGACCTGTCCTTTCAGCTTCTTTCTCACACGCAGATGAACACTGGACTTCAGAAATGTAAGTAATCTGGATCCCAGAGAGGGATGTGACACTTATTTTACATTTGGGTAATCACAGAGGCACTTAAGGGGTATGTTGACCGTGAACTTTAGTACTTCCAAGATATTCTTCAGCACAGACAGCAGGAAAGCAGCTGCCAGGCTCTTCAGCAATGTGGACACTTTTCTGATCAGAGAGATCCTCTTAAATACTAGAATTCCTCAGTGTATAACATCTGAATTACCATTGTTGCTGATAGCTATCTGTTGAGCCACAAAGCTGTAAGGAGTTTTACACAGTATGTATGTTACCCCTCAAAAAGGTGTTTCAGTTTGAACCCCCATGAGGAATTGAATGAAAACTCACACTCTTGATTACTTACTGTATCTCTGAAACGAACTATTTGCCCTTTTTTGTTGTTTTGGACTCTCTGAGCATTCTCTTCCATGGAAACTGTTCCCTTTGGCTTTGCTGTCTGCTGAACCAGTGACCTCAGTTCACAAGTGAAGAAGCTTTCACCTCCGGAAGGGATAGGGAGCTTTCTCAGCCTCTGTGGGTATATTCCTGCTAATAAACTTGCTCACAAGATTGAACTTTTGAGAACCTATTAGATTCCTGTCTTTTTTTCTTTTTCTTTTCTTTTCTTTTTTTAAGTAAGCTCTACGCCCAACGTGGAACTTGAACTCACGACCCAAGATCAAGAGTCACATGCTCTACTGACTGAGCCAGCCGGGCGCCCCAGATCCCTGGCTTCTGTCCCTGCACTACACTGACGTGCAAGGAAAAGATTCTTTTCCTAGCTCTTTACCGTGTCCAGTGTCTTCAAGTATAAATGTTGCCCTAAATTTGGGATAGACTTTCCTTTCAGAGCAAAAGGCTCCTAGGCTTACCCCCCTTTTTCTTTTTTAAGATTTTATTTATTTATTTGACAGAGAGCGTGAGAGGGAACACAAGCAGGGGGAGCAACAGAGGGAGAGGGAGAAGCAGACTCCCTGCTGAGCATGGAGCCCGATGTGGGGCTCGATCCCAGGACCCTGAGATCATGACCTGAGCCGAAGGCAGCTGCTTAACCGACTGAGCCACCCAAGCGCCCCGGTGCTTCAGCACCGTTATGACGGGCCGACTGGTAAACTTCTTCTGTAAAGGGCCAGATAAGAAATACTTTAGGTTTTGTGGACCACATGGTCCCTGTTGGATCTACTCAGAGCTGCTGTTGTAGGGCAAAGGCAGCTGGAGACTGCGTGTAAATGAATGAGTGCGGCTGTGTTCTGATAAAACTTTTTACAAAAACACAGCAGCTGTATTTTGGCCCACAGGCTGTAGTTTGCTGACCCCTGCTATCTTCAGAAGTTAAAAATGGTCTAGCCTCTTGACTTCCTTTCTTTGAAGGAGAATAAGACTCGAAGCCTGGCTAGTTCTGAAATTTGGCCAGTGAATCCAACTCACGTAATGACAAAGCTGAAAGTAACGGTCTTCCTTCTGCAGCTGCCTGACCCAGTAGGCAAGCTATGCTCTGCTGCAGCAGCTTTCCCCCCAGTCTTCCTCTTAAGAAATGGTAATTGGGTGATAAAGTTGTATGTGCTCCTTGGCCACTGAAATCTGCATGCTAACTGCATTTTGACTGGTTCTGGGGTTCCAGGGACACAACTGGAGAAGGAGGTATACTTGGAAACACGACAGAAGAGCTCACTGACTTTCCTCTAGGTTCCTTTGTGTACTCAAACAGCTTTACCCAGAGATGGGATATCGAGGACGAGTCATTTGGGAGGAAAAGCAAATTGGCAGCTTTATCTTGGGTGCTGACTTTGGATCTCCACTCCCTTTGTGCCCAAAGCAGCCTCAAAGTAGCCTCTGCCAACCACTGTCTTCAAATTTTATTTAAGAATTGAGATAACCGTCTTCCCTAGTTTCAGGCTTGTCTGTTTGGGGGGATAGTGTATTGGAATCCCTTTGTCTCACTTGTTGCTATCTTTAACTATACCCAAGCCGTTGCAGAGAAGAAAACCTGATGGTGTTTTAAGCTTACTTGCTTGCTTCTCACCTCTCCCAAAATGTATAAGAAAAAAAATTCTGCCATGTCACTTTTAGCTGTTAGCATTGAACATTGAAGGTGAGATGGAGCATAAACGCTCTCCTTTGGGAGCTAGCACCACGGCCCTGCTCAGAGGCCAGGCCTCTCAGCTATAGAGACCTTAAAACCAGTTTTGTGACTCTGCTCTTCAGCCTTTTTCTGCCCCTCATCCTCAGGAGGGTCTTATGAGTTGTTAGTAGAAACACAGAGCTTGATGTCTGGCAGGGCAGGGATGGGGTACAGATATGTATAGATTATTGTGCTTTATATTGTAAGAGCTCAAGGCGGGAGAGATGTATCAGGGGTCCGGAGTGCTTGGCCAGCATTCTGAGTCACCTGGCTAATCGCTTTCCCCGGCTTAACCCACTACAGGTACAGAATCACAGGATTGAGCCCTTCTGACTCCAGCATTTCCTCATCTCCCTTCCTTTGCTTCGTATGTAGGAGGATGTAATGCATTTCCCATCCTAGATGTGGCATTTGCCGTGGGGCAGTCTGGATTAAGGAACACTTGGGCTTTGGTGGGTCCTGCACTCGATAGAGGACCACAGTTTGGGTCAGGTGGATACCCTCCTAGAGCTTTTCTAGATTGTATATTCCATAATGTCACTTGCTTTGAGAATTCTCAGCTGTTTTGGAACTTTACTTGGCAAAACTTCCTCTGACCTGTCTTTTCACAATTCCCCAGAAAATGTGTTTTTGAACATTGCTTTTCTTCATTAACCCCAAGCTCACCACCAGGTATATTGTAGTGGCTCAGTAAATATTTCTTGGTGAGTGGCTGAAATGTCCAAAGGCCCTTGGTCCTCAAATCATCTTTTAGACAACAATTTTGACCTCCTTCATTATAGACAAACGTCAAAATTACCCAGTTTTACTACTACTTTCTGTGCCTATCTGCCCCCTAGTGGAAGGGCCTGGAAATGGTGAATTGGCCCAGTAACGGGATAAGCCCATAGAAATCTCAGAAATACTAGTTAATATTTGTTGATTGCTTACTATGTGCCAGGCCCTATTTTGAGTATATTTATGTATGTCCTCATTCGTTCCTCAGTAATCCCATACGAGAAACTCTTATCTTTCTTTTGAGGAGGAGACGTAGAGTAGCACTGCCAGTGTCATATTACTGTTCAGGGACTAGGCTAGAACTCACTCTTGGGTCAGACTCCAAAGCCAGTATTTGAGACACTGCCTGTGCCTCTCCACCTGTGATAAGAGTTTCCTGCTGCAGATGGTCCTTGTGTCTTCTGACCTTCAAAATGGAAGGACAAACAGGGAGGCCCCTGTGGGGAAGCTGGGATTCAGGGAAATGTCCACCTCCCCCCACCCCCACCCCACCCCTGGCCTCCTGCAGTTCCTGGAATAGACAGCACTGCTTTCTGCTACATTTAACTCCCAGACTCCAGTCCAGCGGGCTTTCTTGGTCGGGTTACTTTTTCTTGTCTGTGTGCAAACTCAACCAAACATGCTCTCCTTGAATAATAACCTTTGATAGTCATGGTTCCTGTTGGCAGAGCTTTTCCCTATTCACTGAATCTCTTGATCTTAGTAATTATGTGAGGTACGAGGGCGCCTGGGTGGCTCAGTCGATTGAGCGTCCGACTTGGTTCTGGCTCAGGTCATGATCTCAGGGTCATGAGATCAAGGCCCGCGTCGGGCTCCACGCTCAGCATGGAGTCTGCTTAGGATTGGCTCTCTTCCTTCTCCCCACTTGCGCACATGTGTGCGCTCGCTCACTCTCTCTTTCACTCTGAAATAAAATAGAGAAATAAACTCTTTTAAAAAAATACGACAAAAATGGTACGACAGCAGGTATCATCCCTGTTTATAAATGAAGGATGACTGAGACCCTGAGTAGTAGATAATAAAGCCAGTATTTGAATCGGGATCTTCAACTTTGTTCTAAGCACAGATTCCCTATTCTCTACACTGCCTTATGCCCCAATTAATGACACCTTTGATACCAGATATTTAAATAAGTTGCTTACAGGGGCGCCTGGCTGGCTCAGTCTGTAGAGCACACGACTTTTGATCTCAGGGTTGTGTCTGAGCCCCACGTTGGGCATAGAGCTCACTTAAAAAAATAATAATAAAAAGAAATAAGTTGCTTACAAGCTGTGGTACCTGCATAGGGGAAGATGTTACAGAAGAAAGAAGGCTTCCAGGATGCCTGTGTGGGACTGAGATAAAGTGTTGAGAAAACTTGGGCTTTTTTTTTTTAAGGGCTGGGCTTAAGTCTGATACATGAGGTGGGTGATGCTAGATTCCAAGAATATAGCCTCTTTTTTTTTTTTTTTTTAAAGATTTTATTTATTTGAGAGAGAGAATGAGATAGAGCATGAGGGGGGGAAGGTCAGAGGGAGAAGTGGACTCCCCGCCGAGCAGGGAGCCCGATGCAGGACTCGATCCCAGGACACTGGGATCATGATCTGAGCCAAAGGCAGTTGCTTAACCAACTAAGCCACCCAGGCGCCTAATAGAGCCTCTTTTTTATCCAGTATACTCATCTCATCCTAAGCAGTGTAAATGTCCCATTCCATACTCCTGAATCAAGCCAAGCTACCTTCTGTCTCTGCTAGAAAAAAAAAAAACACCCTGAGACTTGGTACTGACTTGGAACAAAGGAACTCCATCAGTCAGCAAGCCACTTTACCACTCTCTCTTACCTGACCTTCAAGGAGGGAAGCCCACCAACATGGAGGAAAGCCCAGGAGCAGACCTGTATTACCTGTCTGAACTAAAACCCAGCAGCTTTTGACTGGCATTACTCAGCTGAACCCGTTCAGTCAGAATAAAACCTATACTGATGACACTGAGTCTTCTGCACGTCTTCTCTGGGTAAGGCACAGGGCTAGGAGTGTCACTTGATTTTGACCAGTCAGACACCTAAGTACAGTGGCTGATCTGGGCAGTTTCTTTTCTTTTTTTTTTTTTAAGATTTTATTTATTTTTTGACAGAGACAGCGAGAGAGGGAACACAAGCAGGGGGAGTGGGAGGGGGAGAAGCAGGCTCCCTGCAGAGCCAGGAGCCCGATGTGGGGCTCGATCCCAGGACCCTGGGATCATGACCTGAGCTGAAGACAGACGCTTAACTACTGAGCCACCCAGGCGCCCCTGATCTGGGCAGTTTCTAATGGAATTCTGGTGTCTTGAGGGACTATCAGTGATCCCAGATTTTTTGGTATTTTCTTATCCAGGAGAATGTAGCAAGGGTCAGAAAATGGCCCCACTTTATGGAGACTGAAGCCCATTGAGAGTCAGTGGCTAATAAGCAGCAGAACTCAGACTCTGCTCTCGGGGCTTTGATTCTGCTCACCAGCTAGTGCTTCCTAGTGAAGGTTTCTGGGCCTCTGGGCCTCCCTCTCCTTCCTGGCCTCAACTGTCACTGTCACATTCATCCTTTTAAGATCTTCTCCAAATCTGTCATCTTACAAACATTTCATTTATGGACAGAGCATCCATTCTATATGCGGTTAATAAAGCAGACCTCAAACGTGTGGGAATGCCTACTACATTGCGGCATTGTACCCCTGAGAGCACAGCTCTTTCTGTACTCTTGTGCTCAGTTCTACCGTGGTGAGCGTGGGACCAAATCTCTCTGCGCCTTGTGGACCTGAGCTCTCTTTTCCTGCCTCTAAGAGCAGCATTTTCTAAGCAGTTGCTGCCAGGCTAACCAGCAGTGCCACCAAATGAGGGCAGCGGTGCCCTCTTCCTTCTAGCCCACTCCTTGAGCCACTTCCCTTTCAATTGATGCCCAGTGACGTGACTGAGTGGGGTCTCCTTGGGCCAAGGCAGCTGAGGCCACAAGCTGGGCATTCAGTCAACTTAGTCCTTGCTCTGTCCTGGCTGCCTCCTACAAGGGGAGGAAATAGGGCGGGAGCTCGCTGGCTGAGCCTGGGCTCCTCGCCAAGCCCCTTCCTTCTGCTCCAGCAGTGTGGGGGTTTACTCACTCAGCAAACCTTTATTAAGCACCTTCTGTGTATACTTAGGAGAGACCCTACCTCAGAGAGTGGGGAGAACAGAGCTGAGACCTTTTGCAGGAGCCTGGCATCCTTAAAGAGCTCTCGTTCTCAGAACCTTTTCCTTTTTGACTGCAAGTCCGACATCCGCTGGAGCCCCCCTGATGGGTGGCCGCTGGAGATGCGAACAAAGAGACTGTTAACGTTAATGAGGCACATTGAGTGAGTGGGTATTTCCGCAGTCTCCAAAGGAAGGCAGGTTTTTCTCTTTCATTTTGGAAAGTGACAGCTGACAAGGGCCGAATACAGACTATTTTTAGCTCTCAGGACTTAAAGATTCTCTGAATCCTTTCTTCTCAGCTCCCTCCGTGCTGCCCTGCCCCACCAGGAAATAAATACAGCCTTTTGATCTTCACCCACTCAGGCAGAGAGTGAGCGGTAAACAAAAGTGAACTTGTGACATAAGGCTAGGGGAGAGATGTTGGCAACTTTTTTCCTCTGTTCCTGGAAAAAAAAAAAAAGCATCCTGTTTGCTGTGCCAGGGTGCCCACCCAGGGTATGGTGCCTCAGCTGCCAAGGCACAAGAGAATGCTGCCTCCCTGGCCGCCGCAGACTGAAGAGGCGTCACTGTGGGCACCCTCTTCCCCACGGTGTCACAGGAAGGGGACTGAGGGCCCACAGAGGGCCCTGACAAGCAGCCTCGTGTAGAACCTTCACCCCCAAGGCCAGCTTAGGCTGGTAGGAACTTGGAGAGAGTTCCGTGTAGGGCAACAACCGTCAGTTACCTTTGTGAGAATTGGCCAGGTTCTTGCTTTCCAAAATCCGGGACCTTGAAAGTTGCTCTGCTCTTCTGATCTTCGGTGGCCTCATTTATAAATGAGAATCCTGATTGTAGCTGCCTTCTAAGCAGGAGTGAGGACTCATTGAGATAGCCTGTCATTTAGCACAAGACCTGACCAGTTACACGTATTGAATAAACGTTAGTGGTGCTTGTTACTGTCGGGGTTCAGGGAGACTGGGTCTGAGATGAAGACCAGGGATGACTTCCTTATCCCCCGCTCTACCCTACACCCTCAGAAGGGGAGTCTAGAAGGGCTGGTTGGCTTGGCACTGATGAGCTCCCTCTCCCTCTTTGCTCTCCTTACCCTCTCTCTCTCTAGGGGACACTACACAGAAAATGAGAGCCGCTCACTGCCCTACCCCAGCCGAACTGGACGCGTATGCTAAGAAGGTCGCAAACAACCCACTGACTATAAAAATCTTCCCCAACAGTGTGAAGGTTCCCCAGCGGAAACACGTTCGTCGTACTGTGAACGGCCTCGACACATCAGCCCAGCGCTACAGCCCCTACCCGACTCAGGCTGCCACCAAGGCAGGCCTGCTTGCCATTGTCAAAGTGCCAGCCAAAAGCATACTCAAGGACTTTGACGGCACCCGAGCCCGATTGCTCCCTGAGGCCATCATGAATCCCCCAGTGGCACCCTATGCTACTGTGGCACCCAGCACTTTAGCCCACCCCCAGGCCCAGGCTCTGGCCCGCCAGCAGGCCCTGCAGCATGCACAGACCCTGGCCCATGCCCCTCCCCAGACGCTGCAGCACCCTCAGGGTATCCCGCCACCCCAGGCGCTGTCCCACCCTCAGAGCCTCCAGCAGCCTCAGGGCCTGGGCCACCCTCAGCCCATGGCCCAAACCCAGGGCCTGGTCCACCCTCCGGCCCTATCTCACCAGGGTCTCCAGCACCCCCCCAATCCCTTGCTGCATGGAGGTCGGAAGATGCCAGACTCAGATGCCCCCCCGAATGTGACCGTGTCTACCTCAACTATCCCCCTTTCAATGGCGGCCACCCTGCAGCACAGCCAGCCCCCGGACCTGAGCAGCATCGTGCACCAGATCAACCAGTTTTGCCAGACGAGGGCAGGCATCAGCACTACCTCAGTGTGTGAGGGCCAGATCGCCAACCCCAGCCCCATTAGTCGCAGTCTGCTCATCAATGCAAGCACCCGGGTGTCGACCCACAGCGTCCCCACGCCAATGCCTTCATGTGTGGTCAATCCCATGGAGCACACCCATGCGGCCACAGCCGCATTGCCTGCCGCAGGCCCTGTCAACCTGCCCACGGGCATCTCTCGGGCCCCCACTGGCTACCCTAGCGACCTCAAGCCAGTCGCCTGGAACCAGCACCAGCTGGCCCACCTACAGCAGATGTGCAGTGAGGCTGGTGGGACGCCGGCCCCTGGCCTGACAGGCAAGCATGCAGCAGGACGCGAGTTGGCAGGGCCTGGCTTTGTGGGCAAGGCCCCTGCCTACCCGCAAGAACTCTGCCTGGCACAGTCCTTCCATCTGAAGCCACCCCTGGAGAAGCCAACCCCATCCCCACCCGTCAACGGCCTGGCAGCCCCACTGGCCTACCCCAATGGTCACTACTTCCAACCCCTGTGGAACAACATTCTACCCACCCCCAATAGCGACAGCTCGGGGTCTCAGGACCTCGCCATGCCGTTCCATGGTGGGCAGCCCACGGGTGCACCCCTCGACTGTGGGACGGCTGCTGGGGCCCACTACCGAGCAGGGACCGGGGGCGGTCCAGTGGCAAGCCAGAACAGCTTGATGCAAACGGTGGATTACCTAAGCGGGGATTTCCAGCAGGCCTGCTTTCGAGAACAGAGCCTGGCCATGCTGAGCAAGGCCCACCGAGCCCCTGGCAGCCGAGCCCCTGATCCCGCAGATAGTCGAAATCTTCATATTCAGCACCCTGGGTATAGATAGGGAGCCCTGGTGCCCTCCACAAGCTACACATCATACATCACCCTCCTAGGTTTAGACTTACTTTTGAGTAATTGGATAGTTTCAAAATTTCACCGCTCCAATGTGATCATTCTTATATGTCTAAGAAAGGGAATTTGGTGGGATCTAATTGAGGACAGCAGGGGATCCCCTGTGCCCTCATCCTCCCCTCCACCATCCCCAGCAACTTCTGGGCTTATGTGAGGACCTAACCTCAACTCCAGGCTTTTCTCTCTGCTGCCTCTCAGTCCCTTCGCCTTGGCCATTTCCCACCAACCACCTCCCGTCTTTTCTTGCACCTCTGCCAGTTTTCCTTAGGACTGAGGTGTGGGGAAGGGAAGGGCCCTGGGGAAGGTGGCTGTGGTGCCCAGCCCCTTCAGCTAGGCCTCTCCCTGTCTGTCTCTGTCTTCTTTGGGACTAAGAAGCCAGACTTCCCAAGTGCTCTGGAAGCTAATTCCTTATTCACCCAAAGATCTCAAATTAAAACTGACCCAGTCTTCACCTCCTCCCACCCCTCTCCATTCCTCAGGGCTTTGTTGTACACCTACATTGATTCCAGAGCCACTGCACTTGTCCTTGCTACACTCCTCAAGGGCACCCTGCGGGCACATGGCCGTAGCCTAGAGGCATGGGGAGAGGGTCTTTGTATTGGCATCTTAGTTCCTGACTGCCCCCTCTTCCGGCCCTAGGGAAAGGTAGTAAGGTAGTGACCATTCAGCATACCCAAGATCCCTTTCTCACTGTAGTCTCCTAACACACCTGCTGCTCCCATCCCTCGTGCCCCTCCAGAAACCAAGCAAAACAAAACAGGATCTTGAGGAACTAACTAGGTAAAGGATGATCACATTGGAGTTCGGAATTAAAAACACCAAAAAAAAAAAAAAAAAGAAAAAAAAAGTTAAAATGCATTTGGTTCTCTCTACACTGGCTAAGAATATTGCTCTACACTGTAAGTTTTAAATGTCCTGTTTCTGTATGAATGTAGTGTGGGTTTGAGTAGCGTTGTGTGAGCGGCCCCACAGGTACATTCACCCTCTCGTCACGTCCTTTTGCAGCCCCTCAGTTTAATGAAGAAAGAAAGAAAGAAAAAAAAAAAACAAACACAAAGCCTTAAGCTCTTTGAATTCTTCCTTTACCAAATGAGCATGGTTCTAACAGCTGGAGGTGGACCTCCGTGGGAAACAGCCCCTCCTGCCCTTGCCCGCCCTTCACACGCTCATCCTTCACCCCATGCTCAGTGTGTCTCATTCCCAAGTGGCAAATAGTTGGCTAGAAATTTAAAACTTCTGTAACTTTAAATTTAGATCATGTTTTGTAATTTTTTGCACCCTTCTGTTAAAGATACATAGTTGGGCTCTGACTTTTTTTTTTTTTTAAACCAAATTAAGCCCTTACGTTTCCTCTTGTCTCTGGGGAATGTGAGCTGATGTTCTTATTTAAGATTTGGGATTTTGTTTACTATTTACTGTTCTTTAGCCAGAAATTCTCTAGTGATCTGAAGCAATGTGACTGAAGACCAGTTTTTAAATTATGTGTTGGCAAGTTGCCTTATATTTAAAAAGAAAAAAAAAAGAAAGAAAAAATGCCTGATTGTGTTATGCCAAATGATAGTAACATGAAGTCCTAATTTATTGTTCCTGATTTCCCTGCTGTCTGTGAACACTGGTACCTCCCTGTCCCTGAGCCCTCGGGGGTTCCTGCAGCTTCTGGGCAGGGCTGCCCCCCAAGGCATTGACCACCGTCTCACCCAGGGCCCCCTTCCTGTTCTCGCTTCTTGGAGTTACATTTAAAGAGCACCACTGTCTCCCCTTATCCCTTGTTTGATCTCCAAACCAGATATTTTTGCCGCAATTTTTTCCAATGCCTCTCCCTGACAGGTGAGCTGCCGTCTTAGGAAATTGACCAGACACCAACTTGGGGGCTTTAAATCAAACCTCAAACCCTCAAATCTCTTCCTGTGTAGGGGTGCAAATCTCTGAAGCTCTCACTCCCACCCCTAGTCTGCATGGAAAATGTACTGTGACCCCCCCCCCGCAGCCCCCCCCCAACTGCCCTTGCCTTTGGTGTGAGATGTTTCCTAGTTCACCCTGAGCCCCTCTCCCCCTCTGCCAGCCAACCCCCAACCAGCAATAAGGGTCCAAGCCAGGGCCTCGTATCCACACTCCCTGCCTCCGCCCCACACTGCCCCTAGGGAATACCGGATTCTGTACGCTGTCCACATACTGTAGCATTCATTCTCCAGCTCCCTCATCTTCTCACCTGTGGTGGTTTATGGGTGTGATGGGGTTTTTAAGATTATTATAAACCAGTAAAAAGAAAAAACCTTCTGATCTTGTCCTATTCGTTGAATGCTGTGAATGTTTGAGGTGATTTTTCTTGTGGTGTTTTTTTTTTTTTGAAGATTTTATTTATTCATTTGAGACACAGAGATAGCATGAGCAGGGGGAGAGGGAGAGGGAGAAGCAGGCTCCCCACTGAGCCAGGAGCCTAATGTGGGGCTCGATCCCAGGCCCCTGGGATCATGACCTGGGCCGAAGGCAGACGCTTAACCATCTGAGCCACCCAGGCGCCCCTCTTGTAGTGGTTTCTAACATGTCTCATTTCCAGAAGGGAAGCCACTGCTCATATTTAAGAGGGGAGCTGTAGAGTGGCCCACTCGGAAGCCCTCCCAGCCCGTTAGCCCAGAACAGGTGCTGTGCTGGTTGGAAAGCATGGGGTGGTGGACTGCAGCCAGCGCCCTGGGCCTCTCCCTGGGCAGGGGTTTGCTGCCCTGCCCTGCCAGCTCAGTGTGCTGCCATTTGCACTCCAAGGAGCATTGAAAAGGGGGGATCTGGCGTGCTGATGAGCCAACTGAAGACTAAATGCCCCTCCCTCCCCTTCTTCCACTTCGGCACTTTTTTTTTGTTTTGAAGCTTACATTTAGTTGACAGAGAGAAGCAGGGACTCCCGCTGAGCAGGGAGCCTGATGCAGGGACTCGATCCCAGGCCCTTGGGATCATGACCTGAGCCAAAGGCAGACGCTTAACCCACTGAGCCACCCAGGTGGCACCCCCCCCCCCCGCAGCACTTTGGAAGTTTTGAGGGCCTCTGGCTGGTGCAGTAATCTGTAACCTGTGAAGCGGCCCCTCAGAGTATTGACGGAGTCGTGAAAGTCCCGTCCCTTTCTGAGCATGCCAGTCTCTGGGGTGCCCTTCAGAGAAGGCGTTTCGCCTCCTTTACCCCATGCCATCCCTGGGAAAGCAAGCTGCCTTCTGCATGGGTCACATACCTGCAGTCAGCTAAGGTCACACAGCTGCAGAGTAGACGGTGAGTTGAGCCCGCCTCTTATCTGGCCTCTCCGGGCAGGTGCTCGTGGAATCCAGCTCACATTCTGATGCAAAACCTGGCCTGAGTTCCACAAAGCAATTCTGCCTGCCTGCAACAGCACTGGGGTGAGGGGCTCTGGGGTCTGGGGCCGACCGTGACACCCACTGTTGCACACAACTCTAGGTGGCACCCTTCGACCTTCCCTGGTGAATGCGCCCCCTGGAGTGGTGCCTGGCAGTCCTGCCAGCAGAGGGAGCCCAAGGGAAGACTGATGCTGGACGGGTGGCCGGCCCCACCTCCTGCCTGACGCGGGAGCTGGGGAGCTGGAGAGCTGGAGAGCAGGCGTTTGCTAGATAGAGCCCATGCTTTTCCCTACCGGCTTCAGACATCACTGTACCAAGATGGTTTATCTGGGGAAGAAGCGCTCTCTTTCTCAAGAAGGCAGCCAGGGCCCCATCTCCGCTTTGGTCAGTGAATTTGACCTTTTGAAGGGTAAGCTGGTGGTTAGTTCCCAGGCCGGCATTTCCGACTGTCACCTAACAAGGGCTCTTTTCACCTCAGCCTGTATGTGGGAGAGTGAAGGCAAAAACTCCAGCCCTATTAGGTAATAGTTGCCACCCACCGGTCCTCTTCCCGGGGCCAAGCAATAAGAGTAAGGGACTTGATGCTGATTAATTGTAAAGTTTACAAGTCTAGGGGAAGAGGAGTACTCCCATTTTACCAATAAGACCAACACCCCACGTAGCTCAGCAACTTGCCAAAAAGCAAGCACAGCAAGGATCTAAACCCAACTCTACTGCCAAAATTAACGGGAGTTATGCTGCCAGGGATCGCTGGAGCTTCAAACAGAATCCAGGCCCTGTCCCGAACCAGCTGAAAGGTCACTGAGAAGTCAGCTCTCGCCTCTGTTCCTATTTCATCAGCCAAATGTGGATAATCACAGGCACTCACTGAGGCCTGTATGGAAAGTAAACAAATACAGATGAGAAAATCCCGGTGCCTTGTACACCTCAAAAGCCCCTTGGCTTAGTCGCTGGGTATGGGCTGGGCACAAGCCCTGTCTTACGAAGTCTTCACCACAGCCGGCTGAGATAGGTTCTTTTAAGATGGTGATAAAAGCAATTTCTTTTGCCCGTTGTATTAAACGAAGTCATGCATGTAAAGCGCTTGGCAGTGTCTGCCACGTGATAGCTGTTATCATTAGACTAGGAAAGACCCACCTCGGGCAGAAATACTAGTATTCGGTGGAGTATGGATGCATCGGGGACTCCAGGCTTATAAAATGTTCAGAGCCTGCACCTCCCCCATTTAGCCACCAGTGGGCAGCGGCAGGCAACTGCGTCCTGCACAAAGCCTGGTGCAGCTCCCCTGTGTCCACCAGAGGGCGATCCAGCAGGGCAGAGTGGCAAGCAGCAGCCCGCCTTTGGCCCTGGGCCTTCACCGTTGGGCCCAGCCTTCCAGGGCCCTAACCATCCCAGATTAGTCAGGCTGGAACCAAGTTAATAAATACAATTCAGGATTTATTAAAAACCAGGGCTCCCCTGCTGTGCCCTCCTGGCACCAAGTAAATAAATAACCGGAGGCACAGCCAGGGAAAGGAGAAGAGAAATCAGATCTCAAGACAGATTCTTTTAACTACCCCTCACTTTCCCAACTCCCCCCCCCCCCAACTATGGCTCTTGGGACGTAGCACCAGCAGGCACCTCAGTCCCGGGAAGAGTGTGGCCGGCACCAAGGCATGTCTTTCTTCCCTGCCCAGGAGAGGAGACAGATCCTGGGATCACTCGTTTCCAAGCCCTTGATGACCCCAAGACCTGCTCCTGCCCCAGGGGCCAGGGCTGAAGCACCAATAGGAGGCACCTGAGGGTGGCAGGGGGAACAGGGAGACAGAACCTAGGCAGCAAAAGAGGCTGAAAGGGGGTCCGGCCCCCTCTCTGGGTTGAGCCAGTTCCTGACTGAGGTCCTATTCCACCCTCCTTTTCTCCGGAAGCCCCGTCTGCACTCAGCTGAGGATCTTTCGGGGCAATTCAACAGAGGCACGGATGAAGACGGCATCATCCCGCACATAGTTTCGCTTGCGGATATCCTGGTGGGAGATGAACTTGGGATAACCAAAGCCCAGAGAGCTCTCATCCAGGGAGCCCCGCCAAGTGCCCGGTTTTTGGAAATTCTTCCAGTTTGGGTCAGGGTGAAAGGTCTCAGTGACGTGCTGTGGCTTGGCCAGCCCGGGGTCACTCTGATCCAGCAGGGAGAAGGTGACACGGCGGGCAAACGGCCACTCAAGGAGATTGTCAAAGGCACCCGGCAGCACGCGGATGTAGAGCGACAGGTGTGTGCCCTCGCCGCTGCCGTTGCCATTGAGGAATGCGGACACCTGCAACTTGTAGCCATACTTGTGTGTGTAGAAGGCCGGGCTGAAGCACTCGAGGTTGGGCTTGGCTTTGGCTTCCTGGAGCCGCCGGCCGTAGCTGCCGATCTTCCAGATGAGCACGCCGTCGCTGCCCACCGACAGCTCCTCCAGCTCCCGCCGCAGCTCCTGCAGCTCCTGCCGCTGCCGGCTCACCAGGGCGCA